GTGCCAGCGGGGGGGGGGGGCCTGCCTCCCTCCGCACCACCCCCCCCTCCCCGCCCCGGCTTCAATTTTTAAACGCGCCCCGGGGAACAAAGGGGCGCGGGCCGATCTCCTTTCCAACCCGCCTTTTCAGCCGTGGAAACCGGATCCCTCCTGGCCCGGCTCGGCCGCGGATCAGATGTGCGAGCCGGGCTCCTTTTTCCTCCGAAGGTGTCTAATTAGCGACAGCAGGTAAATAGCCGCGAAGGAGGGGGCGCCGGGGTCGCTGGGGACCTGCGCGCCCCGGGGAACAAAGGGGCGCGGGCCGATCTCCTTTCCAACCCGCCTTTTCAGCCGTGGAAACCGGATCCCTCCTGGCCCGGCTCGGCCGCGGATCAGATGTGCGAGCCGGGCTCCTTTTTCCTCCGAAGGTGTCTAATTAGCGACAGCAGGTAAATAGCCGCGAAGGAGGGGGCGCCGGGGTCGCTGGGGACCTGTATAAATTACCTGTGGAAGGACCCTCGGGGAACAGACCCAGGTAACCTTCCTCTGAGCGCAGGGTGGGGAACACGCCTCCTCCTCCGTCTCTCTCCCCTTCGCCCTTTCTTCCTGGCTCTGGCAGGAAAGGCAGGGGAGCTGGTGTCTGCGGGGAAGGGGGCGCGAAGGGACAGACCCCGCTCGTTTGTTTTCCGGGGGAGAGGGAGGGAACCGGAGTCACACCGGTTTGGGGGACAGAAAGGGGGCACCTTGGTCTGCTTCCTCCACACCTGCCAGGTAACAAAAGCCCCTTCCCTGCCTCGCCAGCTAACCCTCTGCTCCCATGTCCCTGCCAGGCCGCGGGAAGCTAAGGAAACCGGGCCTGGATACAGACTGCAGACGCGCACCGGTCCATATCTCCACGCCTTGTTCCGTTCCGCCCGCGGCACCAAGGCCCTGTCTGGCCACGGGAGAGGGGGGATCTCACGTGTGTGGTTAGCGGGGGTCTAGGTAGATAGTCAGGGGACGGGTGATGGTTGTACTGGCGTTTCCAAAGGAGGGGGGGGGATGTTTGGTTCCCCCCGCCCTTGCTCAGAGAGCTCGCCCCGTGCTGTGGGTGTACTTTTAATAGAACTGCAAAGTGGGAAGATACAAACCGCCGGGAGGTGTTTGTTTTTTTCCCTCTGAAACAGAGATAGGGAACTCAGGCCCAGGGGCCCCATGCGGCCCCCGCCTTTCCTGACTCTG